CTCACTTCAGCCATGTATCAGATGTTTCAATATCTTTTCTTCTTAAAGGCTATACTTTTGTGTGTGTGCTTATGTGTGTGTGTGTGTGTGTGTGTGTGTGTGTACGTATATGCGTGAGCACCACGCACCATTAGGTCTTCAAACATGATCTTTCTTCCTGGAACTTGTAATAATCATTCCCATCTCTTGTTCTAACTGAAACTCCTTAATGAATCTGAAGTTAGGCTCAGTCCTTTATTTGCATTTCTCCTTTATAAAATTCATTACAATTACATTTCTTTAAGCTCAGTGTTTACCATATAGCTTGTTTGTCCTCACTGTTTCCTCAATATAGTCGAGGAAGGTCTGGGTCTATGCCTCCATCATAGTAAAAATTAACTATGTTCCTTTACTCACCCGACTATGCCAGCTGGGATAATGAATGATGTATTACATGCTGCAGATGCTCAATAAATCATTTCTCTTCCCCAGTACTGGGGTTTGAACTCAAGGCCTTGTGCTGCTAGGCAGGCACTCCACCAATTGAGTCACACTCCAGCCCTTTTTGCTTTAGTTAGTTTCCAGATAAAGTCTCATCTTTATGCCTAGGCTGGCCTCAAACCATGAGCCTCCCAACCTAGTGTTTCCCTAGTAGCTGGCATTATACGTGAAAGTCACTTTTGAATACTTAACAGAATTACAATGATTTAGACTTTTAAATAATTAGTGCACTTAATTAAAAAGAGTTCAAATTTTTTTTTGCCAGAGAAACAAAGGATGGGAGAAAATATAGAGTTTTTTTCAGAACCATTCAGGGTTTACCCTAAATTCAATAGATATTTAACTCTCAATCTCTTTTTTTTTTTGCCAGGCCTTGGGCATGAACTCAGGGCTTGAGCACTGTCTTCAAGCTTCTTTTGCTCAAGGCTAGCACTCTACCACTTGAGCCACAGTGCCACTTCTGGCTTTTTCTGTTTATGTTGTACTGAGGAATTAAACCTAGGGCTTAATAGGCCACATTCCCAGCCAACTCTAATTTCTTTAACAATCTATCTGTACTGAGAATTGAATTACTCTCTTGAGACAGTATATAAAACAAATGGTATTTTCTATATACTTGAATTACTAAGAAAAATATTACTAAGATTATTAGGGATATTGAGGGTTAAAAATTATGGATTTTTTTGCTGTTGTTAAAGCTCAATTAAAGCAGGGCACCAGTGGCTCATGCCATAATTCCAGCTACTCAGGAGGCTGAGATCTAAGGATCTGGTTCTAAACCAGCCTGGACAGAAAAGTCCCAAGAAACTCTTATCTGTAATAAACTACTCAGAAAAGTTTTGAAGTGGTGCTGTAGCTCAAGTGGTAGAGTGCTAGCCTTGAGTACAAACAGGCTCAGGGACAGTGTCCAGGCCTAGAGTTCAAGCCCCAGGACTGGCAAAAAAACAAAATCAAAACCAAAACAAAACCCTCCCAAAGTTCAGCATTTCCATTCCTATACTTACATAACTGTCAGTGCACCGAATAAAAGCGTACTTTTATACTATGTTTCTCTCAATTAGGTAATAGTGGTTTCTAGCCAGTGATGTGGGCTCAGGGAAGTGAGATCATTCAGAGGGTGCATATTTAAGTCTAGGGCCTAAAAGCGTAGCATTCTATATTCATTCACAATGCGAAGGCATCAAGACACAGGTTTATTCCCACAGGACAGATGGAGGAGCATGTCTTGTTAGATCCAGCAGTGAGGTGACCAGGGGACCCTTTCTAAATATATAAGGTCCATGCTCTCCAAATTATAATATGTCATTTCAGCATCTGTTTTGAGAATCACTGAACAGATGGATGACACAGAGAGCCCTGCTTGTCAAGTGTGTTAAGGAAAAAAATGTTTACAATGTGATTGATTATATTCCTGTATACCAAAAGAGAACATGTTGATCTGAAGGGGGAGTGGAACACAGGACAGAAAAGGAGGGTAACAGAGGCAGACCTTGATCCGTAAAGAATGGACAGAGATGGGACAGAGGTGAATCAGGCTCCAGCTAGCTGGTCCTGAAAACTGTCTTTGCTCAGATCCTATGCTTATCGCACAATTTTCTGACCAATAAATTTCTGGGGGATAAAATGGAGGTTTTCTGAGAGACATAAGCTGCTACTGTATGTTAGAATTTTTCTAGGTTTGTGGGTCTATGTAGTTTGTGTGTGTGTCTTGCTTAGGTCAGTCTCTGAGCCTACATCTAGGCCACTGACAGCAGCCCTGACTTTTCTCCAGATAGCATTCAGTTTGTAACATCCAAGTCACCTCCTGAGGCCTTTTCACCTAGTCTTCTCATCTATATGAGGAGCTTGGTCTGATTAAGCTTTGTTCCTTCTTATGGCACTGGGCAATGATTAGTATTTTTGGTTACTTGGTATTCTAGAAGTGTTCTAGAAGTAATGCAACATTCAATCATACCATAAATAAAACCACCTCCAAAACAACAACAAAGAAAGAACCATTTACTACATAATAGCTTGGCAGGGTAGAAATAGTTGTGTTCCTATATTCCTTCCTTCTTTTTCCCTTTTTTGAATTGCAGAATTCCTCCACCTATTCTCCTGGGTCAATGAACCATACCCACCTCAACCCAGTCATCTAGGCAAGAAATGTGACATTTCCTTGATGGTCACCTCTTCTTTGCTAGTGATGTCTACTTTAGCTTCATCCCTAGCTTGAGCCATCACAACAGTCTCAACAGTCTATTCTGTCTTGAAATTGTGGCCATGTTTTTAAAGGTTGTTGTAAAAGGCTGAGATCTGAGGATTAACATGGTCAGAAAGTCTGTGAAACTCTTACCTCCAGTTAGCTAGCAAAAAGGTGGAAGTAAAGTGGTGGTCTTAAATGAAAAAGATCAACAGTGCTAGCAACAAAAAGATAGCAACCATTCCCTGAGTTAAACCTTAGTACTGTGTGTGTATGTGCCCAGTCCTGGGGCCTGAACACAGGGCCTAGGTGCTGTCCCTGACCTTCTTTTGCTCAAGGCTAGCATTCTACCATTTGAGCCATGGTACCTCTTCTGCATTTTTCTGAGTAGTTTATTGGAGATGAGTGTCTCATGGACAATTTTCTGCCTCAACTGGCTTTGAACGGTGATCCTCAGATCTCAGGCTCCTGAGTATCTAGGATCACACACACACACACACACACACACACACACAATAACAACTGCAAAGTTGTTACTTTTTTATGTGAGTGTGTGTGTGGGGGGGGGGTGCGCCTGTATGGAGTCTTGAACTCAAGGCCCAGGACCTGTCACTTAGCTATTTTGCTTAGGCTGATGTTCTACCACTTGAGCCACAGTTTGACTTCAGATTTTTTTTTAATTGTTGGTTAATTGGAGGTAAGAGTCTCAGATTTCTTGCTCGGGCTGGCTTCTAACTGCAATCTTCAGATCTCAGCCACTGAGTAGCCAGGATTACAGTGTGAGCCACTGGCACCCTGCTTGTATGAAACTTCTCAATGACCTTATATTTCCACAATGTAAAGTCCACATTATTTAGTATAGTATATAAGACTCTTCATGACCTGGCTGCTCCTCCCATTGACTTGCTCCTCCCATTCCCCCATAACATACATACTCAAATCATGATGAGCTGCCTTGCCAGCCACCTCACTCCTCTGAATGCTGGTGTTTGTCCTATGTACTCATCACAGATGTATCTCACCTGATCTCTCAGCCCTAATTGACACCTTGTATACTTCCTTGCCTTACTTTCCAAGACATCATTCTTTCCGGCCTTTCCTCTCACCTGTCTGGTATTTCCCTCAATCTCTTTGGCTAGTAACTCCTCTACTTATCATTTGTGTTTCAGGCTTTCATGAGGCTCAATTTGAGGTTCCTAGTTTCTCTACTAAGCCTAATAAATTTAGCTCTTCTCTTTAAAGAAAATAGTTTGCTTAGCCATAGGATTTTTTATAGTTAGCATAAGGGGTAGATGAATATCAATTATAGTATATATATATAGTATATATATATATATTCTATCTATATATAGAATATATATTCTATATATATTCTATATATAGTATATATATATTCTATTCTATATAGTATATATATATATATTCTATAGTATATATATATATATTCTAATAGTTATTTGGTCAGCATACTAAAATAAGTATATAGATAAATAGTTTGAACCTGTGAGGACTTAGTATAATAGGCTAAAAACACTAGTTGTTTGTTTTTCTTCACTGTGGAAGCTGGCATCTATAATATGTTTTCTTCATTCAGGAAGTGGAATTTTCTAGTGTCATTCTAGTTTCTCTCATCATGTCACCATATAAATAATTACATTTTAACAACTCTTCCAAAAGGTGGTTACTTGTAGTTCATCAAGTAATATTTGACCTGTCTATACACTTCACTAAAATTAGTGGGATGAATTTTCATTTTTCATTTAGAAGAAAGCACTTCATTCTTCTGTGGAATAAATTGGACTTGGGAGATAAAATTCTTTGTACTATTTATTATGTTTCACATCCCTACCAGACAATTCTTTTGAATGAACTAAAATCAGAAATGTCACCTTAGACTTTGGAATTGCTCTACCTGAACAGCTGACTCTTCTAGGTATTTCCCAACATTCCATTTTCAATACTCACAAGGTTGATTTTATGATTGTCACACAGGCTAGAGTCTGGTGGGAAAGCTACTTTGGTATTGAAGTGGTATATGAACAAGAAACCTTGCCAGAACTGAATTGAGAGTACTCTATCATAGAGAAGGTTAAACTCTCACAAAGCTCATTTTCCAATTGAGAGTAAAATAATATTTCAGTAGATGTCTTACATTATTTTGAGTATAAGAAAGATATTTCTATTTGCATCTTGTCAATAATCTGTGTGTATAACGAAACAAATTAGGAGCTGTCCCTTTAATAAAACCTTGTTTACCTACCCTCTTTAGTGGGCGTGGCTTAGGAACCTGTAGAGCAAGGTGTAACTTCCAATTCTGTATTCTGACTGAAGCCTTGGAAAGAGTGCTGCTGGTACTGCAAACCAGGAAGTAAGAAATATCGTGCTTTAAACTGAAAGAGAAATTGGCTTTCATATAGAAAAGCGTCTCCTAACAAAACTAGGAAATTGAAGCAGCGATTTTGTATAGTTGTCATTTCATATTTGTTGCTCTGCTGTGGATGGAGACTGAAGCATACTTAGACTACAAAGCTTTCTGGGACAGAAATTGATCTGCCTTATCTGATTACTGCTTGGTCCATCCAAACTACTAAACTGCTGTGTAGGCTGAACCCTGGAGAGTTTCCTTTGTATTCAGGTAGGTGATCAGCTTTTATTTAAATATATATATTGTAGTTTGTTTTTAAAGGTTACTCAGGCAGGGTGGTTCTGTTGATTATTGGAAAAAATGGGAATATAGGTTGGGCATGTTTTAATGTTCCCAGGTGCAGCATTCTATAAATAAGTCCATTTTATGACAACTCTTTGTGTAGAAAAAAGTCCTTTTTAAAAAAACAAATGAGCAAATCTACAATGTATCAGATTAAACAGTTTTATTTTGTTCTCCATTTAACATGTTATATGTTTGTATTTAATTAATGGATGAAAAAGTATATTGAAAGTACCTTGTTCTTAACTTCCTAATAGTATTTAGTAAAACAAAACAGAACAAAAAAACTTGGAAACCATATATTTATGTAGTCAAATAAGATAGCATTAGATGGTGATAGTATTTTGCTCATAGCTTAATTTCTTCTGTTAGGAAGCTAGTTGTGTGTTTGCCATTGATTTAGTTGTTTGCTTTAGTCTGTCTTTAGAAGTATGTATCATCTCACAAAAGTTTTGGAAAGCTTAATTTTAAACAAATATATTAAAATAATGTCTGTTTTTTTTATAAAGCTAGTAATCCTTTTATGGCATTAAAATATTTGAAAGATATTGTTGACTAGCTAATTAAAATTAACTATTATTGTGGAAAAATAATTCAAAAATAATCCTTAAGAGTAGAAATCTCTTGAGGTTTTCCTCAAGGTCCAAAAGCATGGTCTTCTGATGTTCTTCCCTGTATGCTATGCTTCAAATCACTTTGCCCACAAAAAAGGGGGTTCAATTTAAATACTAAATACTAGAACATTTATTAGACATCTATTATCTCCCAGGAGAGGTGATTAGCCTGAGATTGCTACTCTAGGTAAATATAGTTCAGCTCAAAGTGAACAGCCTTGCCATTTTTACATAACCTGGATAGCTTTATTTCAGGTAACTATTTGGGTATTTTTGATGTTATAAAATACTGTTAATAGTGTCTGAATTTTCATCAACTCTTCCTGTAGAGAACTGATGGCCGAAGTGAGGGTATTTTCTTCACAAGCATTTTGAGGCTCCATGAAATGTAATGAAGGTCATCTAGTATAGTGTGACAAACAAAGATACCATAGCTGCCTGACAGAGAAAAGAAAGACCAGGAAAGGAAAAGGAAATGGTGTCAATTGAAAGAGGTAGTATTTATCATAAGAAATATTAGGGATGAATTTTGGCCCCCTTAAATTTATATATATGACTAGTATTTCCCAAATTAATTTTTGTTTACTTCAGTTGTGCTGATAAACTATTAACTCATTTACAAACAAATATTGCTGTATATTTATATATTGTTTTTCTCCTTTCCCTAACTTTTCTTAATTCTCCTGCTCCCCAGCATGTCTTTCCTTCATTTCTGCTGAAAAACTTCATTTTGAACTTTATCTGATAATATTACTCCACAGAAACTTTTTCTCTCTATAGACTTTTATACCGTGTTGAGTCTACCAGCACTTTACTAGGAAATCACAGATTTTCATGTTTGTTTTGTCATTGTGGGGCTTCAACTCTAGGCCTAGGCATTATCTTGGAGCTTTTCTGCTCAAGGCTAGTGCTTTATCACTTTGAGCCTCAGCACCACTTCCAGTTTTCTGGGGATTATTGGAGTCTCAGGACTTTACTACCTGGCTGGCTTTGTGCTGTGATTTTTGTATTTCAGCCTCTAGAGTAGCTAGGTAGCATGAGCTACCAGTGCCTGGCTTAAATTGTCATGTTTAATTTAAGAGTATTGTATGTGTCTTCAAATATACAAAAAGCAAAGTCAAGAGCTTAACTTAGTCATCATTTTATACCCCTTACCATCTAATGCAATGACACATATTTGATACTCAAGATCTGAGTGAATTCTCAATATCTGAGTGAATGAAGAATCTTGTCTATAATTACCTCAAATATCTTGGTGCCTCCCTGTACTTTGCTTAATCATGCACTTGACTATGATGCTTTTTACAAATCAGATTGTTGGTTATCCATTGTATGATTGTTTTAATTTTGTTTTGCTATGTAATGTGTGACTTTGTTGTGGCAATTTTAACACTGCTATGCTACCTACAAAGCACGAACAAGCTGGACTTTATTAAAAGTAATCAAAGGAGCCAGATGTCAGTGGCTCACTTCTGTAATCGTAGCTAGACAGGAGGCTGAGATCTGGAGGACTACTGTTGGAAACCAGCCCAGGCAGAAAAAAAAAATCTGAGAGACTCCTTCAATTAACCAGTAAAAAAAAAAAAAAAACAACAAAAAAGACTGGCTCAAGTGTGGCTCAAGTGGTAGAATGCCAGCCCAGAAAGCACTGAGCAACCTCAAGGCCTTGAGTTCAGATCATGATAAAGGCAAAAAAAGAAGAAGAAAAGAAGTAAATCCAATGAAATTTTCCAACAGTCAGGCTCTACTTATGTATGATATTTTAAGATCATATAATTTAAAATTTACTTGTATGTAAAGCTTTTAAATATGGTTAACGTATTTAGCTACACTGTGAATTAAAAGGATGCATTCTGAGCTGACTTTTAGGAATCTGAATGGTGGTAGTGCTCATGGTAGGCTGGTTAGACTTCAGATCAGTAATTGTTAGAAACGATGAATAAATCATTGTGTAAAAGGGAAATATTTGAATGTGTTTACTTTCCTGCAAACAGCAGCAAGGTACACAGGTTAAAAAAGCCCATCACTTGCCAGGTGGCATGCACCTATAATCCTAGCTACTCAGGAGGCTGAGGTAGGAGGAATACAAGACCACCTTGGGGAACATAGAACTACCAGCAATAGCACCACCAACAGCAAAAATGTGATTTTGTCTGTTTCTCCTATCAAATGGAAGCCATTTTGTAGATACAGAAAATGGAGTTCTGAAAAAGTAAAACAAAACACAACTACGAGTGTCCTACCTCTCAGATCTGTGCCATGGGCCATTTTATGAATACTTCAGGATTCATCACTGGAATCACCATGTTGTATTATCAAACCCATTTTCCAATACTTAATATCATGTTATGTCTTTTTAGAGCCTGACCAGACAGGAGTTCAGGCAGCTGCTTCAGCAGAACTATGGCACTGAGCTGGGCTTAAATGCTGAAGAGATGTCCATTGAAGAGAATGTGCAGCCAAGGTACAATGAAATGTTTTCAAATGTCAAGATTGAAGGATTGATTGAAGTATTGATGTTTAAATTTAGGATCTCAGGCTTCCTAGGCAGGCACTTTAGTAATTTTTAGATAGTTTTGTATTTATGCTTCAGCCTCATCGCTAGCTCTAGAGTAGGTAGGATTACAGGCATCAGCCACTGTAAGGTACCTGGCCCGGAAATGTCAAAGACTTAGTAACCATTAGAGTGACATCATTTTAGATGTTCTAAGTCTGAATATCCATTTATTTTTTGTTGGGTGCAATTTTCCTGTTGTTGTCTGTGGTGAAATGGGGTGAAAGGGAATGACAAGTGAGTGGGACATTAGAAAACCTTATATTTTGCTTCAGTGAGCTTTTGTGCTCAAGGCTAGCGCTCTACCACTTTGAGCCACAGCTCCACTTCTGGTTTTCTGGTGGTGAATTGGAGATAAGAGTTCCAGGGCCTTTCTAGTCTGGGCTGGCTTCAAACTGTGATCCTCAAATCTCAGTCTCCTGAGTAGCTAGGGTTATAGGCGTGAGCCACCAGCACCTGGCAGAAGAGCCTTTTTTTTTTTTTTTAAGGATCTGGAGAAGTGCCTGGTGAAATCTCAAGAGCCTTTTGGTGACAATAAAGCCAATGGTAGGTGTTTTTGAGGGATACTCGAATGGTATGGCTTTTCCTCAAAGATCCCCCAGCATAGTGCTGGCAATATGGTTGGCACTTGGACTAGGGATGTAGCTCAATGATTCAATTTCTAGCACCACCAATACAAGTAAGGCTGACACCCAACCACTTTCATTAACCTATACAAGTAAAAGTGTACTTTGCCCATTAGTAATTGAGGACTTAGAAGTAAAGACATCTAAAGGTGATACATTAAAATTTCATAGCAATGGCATGCTAAGGGAAAGAAGCCAGTAACAAAATACCATATATTGTATGATGTCATGTATGTGTAATGGAGTCCAGAATTGGTAAATCCATAAAGTACATTAGTGGTTGTCAGGAGATGGGAGGAAGGGAGAATGGGAATGACTGCTAATGGGTCCAGGTGAGGTTCTTTTAGGTGAGTGTGGAATGATGAAACTGTTCTAAAATTAAACAGTTCCCAAATAGTGGTGATGGTTGACTAACCTCAACAATAAACAACTGCATTCTTTTCTACTTCAAGTGAGGTGAATTTTATAGTATGTGAATTATATCCTATTGAAACTATGATTTTTTAAAAATATATAGCTAATAAATCTTATAGTGGAAATATTTTGGGTCTTAATGCATGTTCAGAAGTTTTATTCATCTAGGTAATTTTCTAGTTCTGCTGATCTTATCTGTATTTTTTCAGCTTACCATAAATATTTTATAGTCTGTTGTTCATGATTGCACATGCATATTTTATTTGTATTCTGTAATGTCAAAATTTTCCATTGTCCTGTTCTCTATACAGAATTTCCTAGTCTCAAGTATAGAGCTGGGAAGGAAAGCAGCTGATCAATGCAAAAGAGCCTTGAGTTGTGTTAAGTCAGAGTAGACTGTGGTAAATCAGAGTGGATTGTAGTCTGGGCTACCTTATGAGTTGAGAGGACTCAGGCAAATTTAACCTTCTACACTCTGTCTACTCATTTATAAAATGTCACAGTTGGATTACATGACCTTCAAGGTCTCTGGCAGTTTAAAAAAGCATCTAGTCTTTGAAGCAGGAAGCAATACCTATATGTATTTTTTTTTAAGTCATGGGGCTTGAACTCTGGGCCTGGGCACTGTCCCTCAGCTCTTCAGCTCAAGGATAGTGCTCTACCACTTGGGCCACAACACCACTTCCTGTTTTCTAGTGGCTTATAGGAGATAAGAGTCTCATGGACTTTCCTGATTGGGCTGGCTTTGAACTGCTATCCTCAGATCTCAGCCTTCTGAGTAGCTAGGATTACAGGTATGAGCCACTGGTGACCAGCTAGCAATGCATATTTTTGACAAATCACTTCATGCTCTCTTGTGATCAATAGAGATCACTTTCAAGGTCATCTGGAAAACTGTTATTTTCTTCTTCTGGAGATGGAGTGTTATCCAAGGAAACCTGATGCAGGAAGATCCATATTCCCAGTTCTGCTCCATGTCTCATTCTTCCAATGTCTGCAAGAACAATGTCTGTTTTAAATGTTTATTTCTTCAGCTTTCCATATTCCTTCTTCTCGTTCATTCTCTCTCTCCTCTTTTCCCCTCTCTCTATATATATTTCACACCTCCATCCTGAAAATCCTAAAGTGTTGACAGTCAGCTGGTGGGTCAGTCCCTAAGATTCATTTTTCTGGTTTAGCTCTTTCAAATACCCTGCCATTCTGCCCAGCCAAGAGTGCCTTGGAGACCCAAATATCATTTAGGCACAGTAAAATTAAGTTGATATACTGTTTAACTTTTTTCCCCCTTGGAATAATATTATGTAAGACTTCAGGCTGCTTCTTTATTTTAAAAGAGCTTTAAGTACTCATAGCAATAGTTGTATGGGAATGTGAATTGCCTATAAAGTAGATCCCAGGAAATCAGATTATGCTGTGTTCATTTGTATTGAATAGCTCTCCTTTTCCTTCCAGATAAAAAGGAAGTAGAGGCTAGCACACGTATTGTAGCCTTGGCACTGTGGTTATTTGAAAGTTGTTTCCTGCACCTGCTCTTAGAGCTGGGGAGAGTGCGCAGGAGGCAGAACTGATGGATGGGTTCTGTACTCAGACAGCAGGTTGCTTAACCTCTGGGAGGCACTACGTCCTCAGCTAGGACCCAGCTGAAGGGAAGGAGATGTAAAACTGCCTTCTGGTGTCCAGTGGTGTCGACAGGAACATCCCCCCTTACACCTTGGAAGCTTCATGTTTATCTACAACTAAAACTTACCCAGCATTCATGTGATTAGCTATTGTGACTGGTTGTACTTTGTTCATCTTTAATGGTTTCTCACGTTTCTAGACTCTCATCTAAGCCTATCAGTTTTGTTTTCAGCAATGAAATCCATTTGCATGTGATTTAGATGAATAACCTTATTGTAAGTAGAGGCTTATTTGTTACATTATAATCATGTGTTGATCATCAAGGTGATTTGTTATGGAAAAGGTCTTTGAGTCACTTATTTGTGTGGAAACCATCTTATAGCTTTACCGTGATGTGTTTCTTACAGAAGTCCAGCAAGAAGCAATGTGGATGACTATGGGGAAAGAGAAGAAAAATTACCCAAAGCCATCAGTTTTACACAGGAATCAATTAGTCGAGTTTTGGAAACAGAATCACTAGATGGAAATTCATCAAAAGGAGTTAGTATATGTTATCCCTTTAAAGTACAACTGATGTTGTCCTGTATTAATCATAATATAAGTTAAAGTAATCAAATGTACTACAGAATGTTTTAAAACTCTGGATGTTAGGTTGCTACTTTTTTTTCAAGCATTTTAAGCAGAGGTTTGGTGGGAAACAAACAAAACAAAATATAACAGGACGTAAAATTGTGTAGTTAGAAGAATTTTCTTCTGGATGAGTACTGTGGGTGGTGGGAAGAATCTGTCTTCAATGGGATTCAGAGCCAGTGAGTAGCAGGCCCAGTAATAATCAGTGTTCCTGCTATAGGAGGTGGGTCCAGTTAACCTTTGGACTTTTTAGCTAGGTGGTGGTCAGTTTCTACCTTCAATTATTTTTCAAGCATATTTGTTTCTTTTTTTTTTGGTATTTTTCTTTTCTGTTTTCTTTTTTTTATTGTGAAAATATTGTACAGAGGGGTTACAATTACATGGGCAAAATAATGAGTACATTTCTTATCAAGCATTGTAGCCTCCTCCTTTGTTTCCCCTTCCCATCCCTTCCCACCCTCCCCTCACCCCCCTCAAGCATATTTGTTTCTAAACTTCAATTGGAGTCATTCTTCTGTTCCATTTTGGGGGTGGGGGTGAGACCTAGATTCAGCATATAACTCTTGAATTCTCTCTCTCACTTTCTCTCTCTCTCCCTCTCTATCTAACCACCCCCCCTACCATGTGTTATTATAATTATTATTATTAGTTAGTCTTGGGGTTTGAACTCAGGGCCTGGTGCTGTCCTTGAGCTTTTTTGCTCAAGGCTGATGTTCTACCACTTAGGGCTATCTCCACTTCTGGTTTTCTTCTGTTTGGTTGGAGATAAGAGTCTGTATTTTCCTGCCTGGACTTTGAACCTTGATCCTCAGATCTCAGCCTCCTGAGTAGCTAGGGTCACAGATGTGAGCCACTAGCACCCAGCATAGTCTTGAAATCTCTATGATGACCTTGAGTACTGTTTAGATCCTTCCCATAAGCTTGAGGTTCTTTAGCCTCCACTTCAGTTGTGTTGTGAACACAGATGACTCACATTTATTATTACGATTATTATGATTATTATTATTGCTTAATTTGTCCCATCTGCCATTGAGAACCTCTACATGATCTTTTTTAACTGATCACTGATCTTTTATGGCTTCTTTTCTCTCTGACAGATCACTATCTAAGTGTCTGCATTTTGTACATGTTTTGCCCACACTTTTTTTCTTGGTGGACCATTGTCTTGATACAGACCCTTTGAGAGCTAAGTGCTTCCACTACTGAGTTTTCACTCTCTGTCTGGGGCTGCAGGTTTGGGGTCATACCTGAATTTAAAAGTTTAGAGTAGTACTTGGACTCTGTCCTTTACTCTGCCATTTTTTAACCGTATGACCTTACATAAGTTAATTAGTTCAACTTTGCCTTTGTTTTCTCAACTATAAAGCAAAGATACTAGCTTGTAGGGTTTCTAAAATAAAAATGAAATAAAGTATTATGTATGAAAATTCTTAAAACCAGCTGCAACACACATTCAGTTTTGAAAATCCGTAGGCTGTTGTCATTGAAAGTGAGTGAGCCTGCATGTGGTGAGCAGTAGTCCTTTCCTACCCTCCTCAGAGGGCTTCCAGAATCTCTCTGAGTAACTGTGGGGAACACCATGAATGAGAATACATTTATATGAGAGCCACTCATCTTAGACAGCCAACATCTATCATGTGTCTACCTCAGCCTGGTGTTGTGGGTGTGGATTTCTTGCAAAATTTTTGCAATTACAGATACTTAAAGACTTATTACTAGTGCAAGAATTATGATTCTAGGTATTAGCCCCTATATATTCTCATTGAGATGAAGAAGCCATTCAGTTGGATGTAGGTAACAAGATAGACTTTTTTTTTTTATAGCCAGCTTATCCTTTTACAAAAGTCTAGTTTTTGAGGACTGGGTGCATAGAACTGCTAACCTCTCTGTGAGTCCTTTGTTCAGTCTCTAATGTCTTCCTCAGTACCTCCTCTTGGAATAGTTAACATGTTAGTTCTTGCCTCTAGTTTTGTCCCTAAAGGAAGCCACATTTTCTCTCACTAAAGAATGCAGTGTGGGCTGGGAAGGTGGCTCAGTGGTAGAGCGCTTACCTTGCATACATGAGGCCCTGGGTTCGATTCCTCAGCACCACATAGCAAAAAGGAAAAAGCCGGAAGTGGTGCTGTGGCTCAAGTGGTAGAGCACTAGCCTTGAGCTGAAGAGCTGAGGGACAGCGCCCAGGCCCAGAGTTCAGGCCCCATGACCGGACCCAAAAAAAAAAAAAAAGAATGCAGTGTAAGTTAGGTACCGGGGTACCTGTCTGTAATCTAGCTAATCAGGAGGCTGAGATCTGAGGATTGTGGCTTGAAACCAGCATAGGCAGGAAAGTTCCAGAGATTCTTATCTCTACTGAACTACAAAAAAAAAAAAAGGCTGGAATTGGAGCTGTGGCTCAAGTGGTAGAGTGCTAACCTTAAGCTGAAGAAACAAAGCCCAGGCTCTGAGTTCAAGATTTAGGACAGCACCCCACCACCCCCCCCAAAAAAAAAAAGAGAGAAGAGAATGGAATATATAGAAATGATAGTGGGTTTTTGTTTGTTTTTGTTTTTGGTGGGTTGAGGGGTCTGAACTCTAGGCCTAGGCTCTGTCCCTGAGCTCTTCAGCTCAAGGCTAGTGCTCTACCACAGTGCCACTTCTGGCTTTTTCTGATTGTGTGGTGCTGAGGAATCGAACCCAGGGCCACATGCATGCAAGGCAAGCAATCTACCACAGAGCCACCTTCCCAGCCCCAATAGTGTTTTTTTTAAACTGATCTTTAAAAAGATCAATCATATTTCATATTTATTGTTGTTCAGTATAGATGTTAGGTTACAGAATGCGAGTTCTGGGCAAGGTTTTCTTTTTTCTTTCCTTTTCTTCTTTCTCTCTCTCTCTCTCTCTTTTTTGCATTCAAGAGTTCTAAGATTCTTTTAGCCACCTACTAGAGGAGGGAGGTACAGACTTTTTAGCTTGTTGGTCAGTTTATTCCTTCAGTTTTCCTAGTATAAGTATATTGGTTTGTCACTTTGTTTCATTTTCACTTCCAGCAAGATTGGAAATGATAAAAAATATTAGGAATAACTATTTCCCAAGATGAAAATATGCTTTTGAAATAATAAAATTAATACTTTTTATGAAATTTGTGAAATACAGAAGAATATGCAAAGAAATACAACTCAGCTAAATTCCATGAGTATCTACTTGTATCCTTTATAATAGAAAATATAATTTAATTTTCAATAAGAGGAGAAATGTAAGTATGAAGCTACAGAGAAATTTACTCAGCCTAACATTTGTTAGAAAGACTCTAGGTTAAGCTGGGTACCAGTGACTCACACCTGTAATTCTAATTACCTAAGAGGATGAAATCTGGAGAACTGAGGCTCAAAACCAGCTCAGACAGAAAAATCATTGAAATTCTTTATCTCCAAGGAATAATAAACAAAAAGCTTGGCTAGAGGCATGACTCAACGGGTAGAGTGCCAGGCCAGACAGAAAAATCATTGAAATTCTTTATCTCCAAGGAATAATCAACAAAAAGCTTGGCTAGAGGCATGACTCAACGGGTAGAGTGCCAGGCCATGAGTTCAAACTCTAGAACCAGAAAAAAAAAGCCCTGGGTTTGTTGCTGTTTTCTAGTGTGGTATTCCCAAATAGACTAACTCTTGATTGTTTTTTTCAGTAATTTGTACTTTAAACATCAGCACTCTGATAAGGCTAGTTAATCCTTTAATAAATTGTTGTAGTGGGGCTGGGAAGGTGGCTCAGTGGTAGAGTGCTTGCCTTGCATGCATGAGGCCCTGGGTTCAATTCCTCACTACCACATAAACAGAAAAAGCTGGAAGTGACACTGTAGGGCACGTGGTAGAGTGCTAGCCTTAAGCTGAAGAACTGAGGGACAACGCCCAGGTCCAGAGTTCAGGCCCCACGACTAACAAACAACAACAACTAATAAATAAATAAAGCTCAAAAATAAATAAATAAATAAAATCAGCATGAGGATTGTTTAAAAAAATAAAAAAATAAATTGTTGTTGTCCTTCCTGCTTACCAAGAGAAAGCTGTATTCTCTCTGGACCTGCTTCTCTGGACGCTGCTTCTCAGAATCTCTTGGGCGGGAAGTAGGATGGTTTTGTGTATGCTTTTTGCTGCTTCCAGTGTATACAAAGACAGTGCAGGAAAGCATACTTTACTGCGCAGTTTATACAGATTTTCTACATTGCTATACTAAGCAATTATAATACTGACCTAGCAATAGCGTTCTTACTGTAGAAATGACATTTCTTTGTTAAATTTTCTGAGAAACTATAGATGGCATTGTATGTTGAATATATTTTAATACTTATTCTCTGAGTCTCTTGACAGCAAATTTGATTGCATTATGAATTTACTATGATATTAACTTTCCTTTGAATCTTCTCTCTTCACTCTACCCTAATATGACTTCTTTCTCTATTTTGTTTCCCTTTCTGCTCTAGTTACTGGTTTTGAGAGATGGGTGAGTTTTCTTCCAAGAGATGATGGGGCAGGCATTGGCTGGAAAAACTAACTGGGTTTGATTCCTCTCCCTTGCACACCCCATTGTTTCATTGTTTTGTCCTCTGTTCCCTTTCCCTTTTACTTAAATTGGCTATATGATGTTAACTTTCTTTGATTTGTTGTTATATGATAGATACCATTCATAAATTTGTTGTCCATTACAGTGCAAGAAGATGAGTTCAGGATGGCATTATTACGCACTAATATTTCATGGGTCCACTTGGCAGCAGTGGAAATATGATTCAACCCTAACAAACACAATGCTAGAAAGATTTTCCAAAGAGCAGTATTTGAAATAAATTAATTTTAATATTAAAATTCTTATTGTAATAGTTATGCTTCAAATCTGCTTTTTTAAAGTTTTGTACTGTATTTTTTTTTCTTTTAGGGATTAGGTAAAGAGGAGCCCCAAGAGGAGAAGCTTATTAAAAAGAGTCCTTTATTAACATCAGAAAGGAGGTTAAATAGAGTGCCATCAAAATCACTGGACTTGAATAAAAATGAATATCTTTCTCTGGACAAAAGCAGCACTTCAGATTCGCTGGATGAAGGTAAAGAGTTTATTATAAATTTAAGTAAAATTTCAGATATATTTTAATATTTGTCTTTGTATTGGGTGTGGGCAGCTTGAGAATTTAGTTGTGTTAGATATGGTCTCACCCTATAAAGAATTCGAAAGAGAATGGAAGAATAGAAAACAGGAGAAAAGCAACTAAATCTAACCTGTCTCTACTTCTAGAGCCTAGAATTTGAATATTCCCATCACATTTAGCTTTTATAAAGGCAAGCTTTGGATCAATTCAGTTCGAGCAGTATTAATGGAAAAGCAAATCTCTTAATAAAATGCTGCCTGCCCGAAAGATACTCCCATTCTATAGGTAGAATGACCTATTTGCCTATCTGAGCTACCCTTCATTTGCTGTTAGGAAGAATAAGAACTAGAGGGTTTTAATCAAAAGCATGCAGCTAGTTAACTACACAAACTGGAATTAATTTTAGACAAGGTCTCTTAGCTCAGTGTTCTTTTCACTTTAATGCAAATACTCCCCTAGTTCTTTTTTCTTAACCTCCATTCAGTTTTTAAAGGCACCTTAGCAAAGATTAGTCTATATCTGTTTTGTTTTGGTACAGTTATAAATGCAAAAAATAGTCACAATAGGGGCATATCCTGAAATGAATATTAAATTATTAGATTGCTTCCAGAAAGGAATAAAAAATTTCCTTCTGGAAATCTTTTTTTTTTAATTACTCATTGATGTTATTCTGAAAAGGATTCAGCTCTGTGTGCAGAACTGTGGTTATGTTGTAGAATAATGGCATGAGGTTTTGAAAGCAGGAGCAGAGACAGATCGTCATAATTACTTCTGGATTTAAAATTTGAAATGATAGTCAACTCCTTTAATTAAAAAGCATTCCATTTGATTTGAACTCACTTTCAGAAGAACAGTTCTAGTTGAAATTTATTACAGAGACAAATGATAACATTCCACTTGGCATTAAAAGCGACGTATTTGGTTTTAGAAGATCAATAAAGATTTTGCTTCATTCTAGATTGAAATTAGAGATGCTGTGTGTGTGTATGTGTGTGTGTATGTGTGTGTGCATGTGTGTGTGTGCGTGTGTGTGTGTGTGTGTGTGTGTGTGTGTGTGTGTGGTAAAGGTACATGGACTGTGGAGCTGAAGGATGAGATAGACTTACCATTAGCCGCAGAAGGTAGTCACCTTTCTCGCAAAGGGGAGGGAAGATGGATTCTAGAATAGCATCAACTCTGTAGGCATCTAGGTCTGGGAAGAAGAGTAGATAGCCAGGTGCCTGTCTGTAATCCTAGCACTCTGGAGGGTGATGGAAAAGGATCATGAGTTCAAGGCCAGCCTGGGCTCACCTCCCCCATGCTTCCTAATTATGTGAATATGGGCTGCCTTGGAGTACTCAACTAACTGTGTGGCTTCAACAACAGATAGGTGTGTTCTAATTGTGGAAAATAGAAGTCCTAGATGGGATCTAGCAAAGTATGTTTCTGGTGAGGACTCTCTGGCTAAAAATAAAAATAAAAACTACTTTTTAAAAGGAATCTCTACAGCAGATTATATTCTATATTTTCTATGACTTCCAATAAACTCAGGCTTATATTTATCAGGTAGGGATTTAATGACTTTTTATTTTTAAATTGCAAGATTATTGAAATTGAAGTTGGTACAGGAGGAATAACTGGGAAGGATCAAGGGCAGTTACTAAATAATTAATTAGGGCAGTTAACATTCCAGCAGCACAGGGATTAGTTACACCCTGCCTGAACACATTTAAGACTTTAGGAAGATCTCCTCTGGCACCCAGTGGCCAAACAGGTAAGTGACACCAAAATGAGGATTTTTTTTTTTTTTTCACCTGTTCTTTTGTAAGAATGGGTCTCAAAAGATAGTTTCTCTAGTGAGTTCCCATAAAAGTAACAACAACGAGGAGCTGGGAAGTTGGCTCAGTGGTAGAGCGCTTGCCTTGCATGCCTGAGGCCCTGGGTTCGATTCCTCAGCACCACATAAGCAAAAAGAAAAAAAGTGGCGCTGTGGCTCAAGTGGTAGAGTGCTAGCCTTGAGCTGAAGAGCTGAGGGACAGCACTCAGGCCCAGAGTTCAGGCCCCACAACTGGACCAAAAAAAAAAAAAAAGTAACAACAACGAGAAGTTGTGTAGGGAACAAGAGTAAAACTCACAAAACCTTTGTAGAAATAAATAATTGTCTAGAAATACAGAATAATAACATTGGAGTTTCCCTATTGTATGTGAAACCTCATTAGTTTACTTCTTGTTGGTGCTCTTTAAAAAACCCTCTTGGCTTTATCTGCCATAGATGGCTCTCTGCCTTCTAGTTTCCTTAAGGTGTGTAGAATAATTATTTTTTCCTATTAAATTGTCATTAGGTTACAATCCACCCCTAAGAGGGTTCCAAAATCACAAGCTTGTCAGATTTAGCAAATGGACACAAAAATGAATCTATTAAAAAATTCCTTAAAGTTTTAAAATTACAAAGATACTTCTGAAGTAAGTGAACCAGGGAGAAAATGGGACACATCAAAGGTCAACTGTCCCAATGGATTTGGAGGTGGGTGGGTGGTGGGGAGTATAGAGAAGGCTGGATCAGTGGCTGGTTACTTTAAGCTAAACATCATCCTCTTATTTAAAATAGGAGCAGTTCAATGTATTTTTTGTGGGCAGATTGATCTCCATTTTCCCTCAGCTGCCCTTCATGTGGTATAGCTTTGGGAGACACAGGTATCCCTGGCAGGACTCAATAGAGCACTGGAAAAAGTCTTATGGAACAGGAACTGAAGTGGTCTGTTTGATATGCCGTTTATCTGCAGCCTAGAGAGGGAACATTAGATGGAGACCTGCCCAGTCAGGCATCTTTTTAAGGACCTTCATAATCTTCCTGATTAGGCCATTTAGAACCCACCAAGATTGAAAAGTGCTTCTTTTTATAGATATTTCTATGCTTAAAAAAAAAGAGTTCTGGGCAAACTGGTGCCCAACAAATATATTTACAATGTTGTGTCTCCTTACCCATTAAAGAAATATAAATAAAGCATCATTGATACTCCCATCTCACACCAGACAAAATGGCCATCATCAAAAAAAAAAAACCCAACAAATAATAAATGCTGGTGAGTGTGTGTGGTAGAGAAAAGGATGGAAGTCAGTATGGGGTTCCTCAAAAAATGAAAAACATGATCCAGTTGTACCATTTATGAATGTACGCCCAAAAGAATCGAAGTCAGCTTACTGTAGAGATGCCTGCATGCTCATAATATTTCAGAGCTATTTACAGTAAGTGAGTTATGGAATCAGCCTAGGGTGCCCATGAACTGATGAATGGATAAGGAAAACATGTTATGTGTGGAGATTTAGCAGTGAAGAAGACAAATTGTTTCCTTTGCATAAAAATAAGTAGATCTGGAAACTGTCAAAAATATATGTATAGTATATGTAATAACTTATTGCAATGCAATATTTTGGATTGGCTCCTTGTATAGAAAAAAGACAAGGATCTTTGGGAATATCCTAAATTTGAAAAAAATTAAAGAAAAATACATAAATAAATGCATAAATAAAAATGCATAAATAAAACTAGATTTTTCAGCACTTTCACTAGTAACTTACTCATTTAAAAATAAACATTCCTAATATGCTAGGCCCTGACTTTACATAGGTGTTTAAAATTAACATTCCCTCGTCACATAGAACTTAGGTGTAGGAGAGAAATAATAAACAAGTGGATAAGCCACCAATATAATTACAAATCTGGACAGTTCCCATGAAGAAATGAGCCACATCAATAGACGCGCCTATTGTTATTTCCTTTCTCTGTGTATATTGGAGTGATTTATTACAATGAACATATATTACTTCTATGTTTGTAAAAGCAGTTTCTCAAATCTGAGAACTAACCCCATAAAACCTTAGCAAACTGTCTAATTTCTCTGCCATATTCCTATACCAAAGGGGCTATTATTGGAAATCACAGCAAATTGTTTTTGTCTACATATGTAGTATTGTTGTAAGGAGAAGGTGAATCATTATCTACCCAGTATCTCGAAGTTCTTTGTACATGTGGCAAAATAGAAACAGAATCATTTAATGAGGTAGAAATAGCAACTGTTGGGGGTGAAGCTGGAGCTGAAAGTTTTTCTGATTTGTAGATCATTGACCTTGTATTTAACTATACTGTATCCCATAGAGGAAGATTGACAGATGACTTACACAGATAATTCTTAGAGCTTGACTTTGAAATTTGGGGAGATTTTTGTTACAGTTTTTTTTTTTTGGTGTCCAGTCGTGGGGCCTGAACTCTGGGCCTGGGCACTGTCCCTCACCTCTTCAGCTCAAGGCTAGCGCTCTACCACTTGAGCCACAGCACCACTTTCGGCTTTTTTCTTTTTGCTTATGTGGTGCTGAGGAATCAAACCCAGGGCCTCATGTATGCAAGGCAAGCGCTCTACCACTGAGCCACCTTCTCAGCCCCTTGTTACAGTTTTTATTCTGTATTGATGGGGCTAATTCTAGAAATAATGAGTAATCCCTGTCTACATGTAAGTCATTAAAATTTCATGTTAGATTTCTTTTCAGCATTTTATTTCAGCAGTCTCAAATTTCTAGCTGTCTTTTTTTTTTTCATTTTGATTGACTTCTAAGTTAAAGTCAGGTAAGTGTGGGCCCTATCTGAAACGCAAACTGAAAACAAAACTAAAAATAAATGAAAAACAAAAAGGACTGAGGTGTGAATCTAGTGATAGAGTTTAAGGCCCTGAATTTAAAACCCAATACTATAAAAAATAAAATATGAAAAGAGGTTATGTTTATGTACTGTGGCACTGGAATTTCAGATTAGTCACTCATGGTGGACTGTTGGTGATTCTCTCTGAGAATTCTCTCAGAGAACTGCAGTATAGACAAGACAGGTTAGTACATGTAAGATGCTTAACACAGTGCTATGGTCAGTACCGTGTAAGTTTGAGCAACTCTAGCTAATGTTTCCAAGGATGTGAGAGAGGTGATCAGGTACCTCTTTATTTGTGGCCAGTAGTTTACAACATCATTATTATAAATGTAGCATTCCTTTGGGCATTGTTTAGCTTTGGAAAGTACTTTTCAGGAGGATTTAATATGTGGCATTTGGAATAGGTTGTAAATATAGCAATCCTTATCCTGGGGAAGCTGGAGTTAACTTGACATATCCAGGATGCACACTAGTGAGTGCTGCAGAAATACACCCATTGCTGATGTACTATTTACTATAGATTTGAGCTTTCTAAGACAGGACCTTCTAATTACTACGGTAGATACCATCCTGTAAATTTCAGTGTTGCTTTTGTTCCAGTTATGTATTTCTGTGTCTTTTGGGTTTTAACAATTGAAACTGATCCTATGTACTTAACCGTATGTACCTAAGATATATAATTATTATGGTACATGTATACAATTCTAATTTGGGGTTTTAATAGCATCCCAGAATATGTTGGTCATTTTTTTTTCAGTTTTCTTTTTCTATTGTCAAGGTGATGCACCAAGGGGTTACATAAGTAATGTAATAAGTACATTTCTTATCAAACTTGTTACCCTTTCCCTCATTTTTCTCCTACTTTCCCTCCCCCCACTTCCCAACCCCCAAGTTGTACCAATCATTTTCAACAATATGTTGGCCATTGTAATCACATTTGAAAATCATTTTGTACCAAACAAAATAAAGCACAAAAAAATTCCAAACCTTTAAATTGCCTTTCATTAATTTCTTTTCTCCTTTGGTCTATATTTTTGCTTGTCTAGAAAATGTTCCTGAGAAAGACCTCAAAGGAAGACTTTATATCAACCGTGTTTTCCATATCAGTGCTGAGAGAATGTTTGAGCTGCTCTTCACTAATTCACGCTTTATGCAGAGATTTGCCAATTCTAGAAATATAATAGGTTGGTTCTTTGTTCTTACCTAAAGATGAAAATATTTCTCTTATCCTTAGAGAGTTGAGGCTCTCTATATAAACTGACTTACATAGTTGTAAAAACTAGACATACTTTGATTTTATTTTGGTGATCTATAAAGTAGCAGTTAAATGCTTGGTCAGATTCTCATGTGACCAGTAATTAGGTAGATACTACTTATAGTTCAGTCAGACCTTGTAAAAAGTAAAACTATATCTGTTCAAATTGTACATAATCCAGTTGGATTGAACATAATTCAACAGGGTCTTCTTGTTATGGAACAATCAGGTGCTGGTGGAGTAATAAATAGGAACAACCACTTTGCCAAATGGTTTGGCCATGTCTCCTAAAGCTGTGAATTCTCACTTAGCCACCCTACTCCTAGGTGTGGCCATTAGAAGTGGGCACATATGAACTCAGAGTGACATCTACCAGTGTTTAGGGTAGTTGCTTATTGTGGCCACAAACCTACAACATTTCACACATCCATCAGTAGTAGAATTGTGTAAATTTCCACAAAACTGTATATAATTCAACAACAGACTACTGTTGCTCATAATCATGAATAAATCACATAGACACATGTGAAGCCAAAGAAGTCAGCTCCAAGAGCTCATGCTATGTAATTTCTTTATACAGGGTTTCAAGACGAAACTAATTTTCTCAGTATGAGTTTTTTTTAGATCCACCCATTTTCCTGCAAATGACATAATTTCATTCTTCCTGATGACTGCATAATATTTCATAATCCATTGTGTATAAGTAGATAGAGAAATAGGTAGAAAAAAATCCATTTGTCCATTATGGGGCATCTGGGTTGTTTCCCTAATTTGGCTATTGTGAATAGTACTGAAGTAAACAAAGTCATGCAGGTGCTTTTATTATATCCTATCATGTAATCCTTTGGACAAATGTCCAGAAATGGAATGACTAAATCATAAGGTAGTCCGATGTGTAGTTTCTCTTTTTTGAGGAATCTCCATACAGATTTTCCTTAGTGATTGCCCTAAGTTACATTCCTACCAGAAGTGTGTGAAGGTTCCCTCTTCTCCACATTCTCACCAGCATTTGTTATTGTTTGCATTCTTATTGATGACCATTCTGACTGGAGTAAGATGGAATCTCAATGCTGTTTTGATTTGCATTTCTCTCATGACTAGGATATTGAGCATTTCTTCATATATTTATTGGTCATATGTACTTCTTTTGAGAAGTGTCTATTTGACGCCTTTGCCCATTTATTAATTGTGTTATTGCTTCTTTGAGGTTTAGATTTTTATGCTCCTTGTACATTTTGATTATTGAGCTCTTGCAAAGATCTCCCATTGTTTAGGCTGTCTTTTCAGCTGGGAAACTAATATCTTTTTTGGGGGGCCCAGTTATGGGGCCTGAACTCTGGGCCTGGGTGCTGTCCCTCAGCTCTTCAGCTCAAGGCTAGCGCTCTACCACTTGAGCCACAGCACTATTTCCGGGTTTTTCTGCTTATGTGGTACTGAGGAATCGAACCCAGGGCCTCATGCATGCAAGGCTCTACCACTGAGCCACCTTCCCAGCCCCATCTTTTTTTTTATTGTTAAGATGATGTACGGAGGGGTGAAACTAACATCTTTTGCTGTGCAGAAGATTTTAAGCTTGGGGCAATTTATTTGCTAATTCTATTTGCTGAACCCCTAGAATTCTACTCAGGGAGTTCCTGCCTACGTCAGTGAGATCTAGTGTTTCTCCTACTCCATGTCATACTGTTCTTATTTTGCCACAAAATTGAGTTTGTTGTCTGAATCATATTTGGTTTCAACATGGATGATTGTATCCATGATTTGATATCATAAAATATTTTTTAACAATGGGTTTCTGATTAAGTCCAATAGACACATCATAAGGTAGATAGACCTAAAATTAGTCAGCTTTTCCCCAAAGGAGAATCTACTCATAATTGCAAGTTATATTGCTGCCCTTGGGACCTTTTCCTGAGCATCAAACTTGTATATCTTTTTTGAAAAAAAAAATTGGTGGTACTGGGATTTGAACTCAGGGCTTTGTGCATGTTAGTAAGGCACTCTACCACGTGAGCCACACCCCTGATCCCTAGAGTTGTATTTCTTTTTCTTTGCCAATCCTGGGGCTTCTACTCAGGGCCTGGGCATTGTCCCTGAGCTTCTTTTGTTCAAGGCTAGCACTCTACCACTCTACCACCTGAGCCACAGCGCCACTTCCACCTTTTTCTGTTTATATGGTACTGAGGAATCAAATCCAGGGCTTCATGCATATTAGCACTCTACCACTAAGCCACGTTCCCAACCCCCCTTGAATTCCATTTGAAGACATGGCTTCAAATTTCTAGAATTGATTTGTTTCCTGTTGGCTGTGATTAGATGTAGTATCTACCCCTTGGACTGTCGAATCTTCAGGAGATCAACTGAGAACCATGACCTACACTATCATCCTTAATAACCCACTCACGGGGAAGTGTACTGCTGCCACCGAAAAGCAGGTATGTCTCTTTCAGCAGTATTCCAGAAGACTCATGTGTGGGCAAAAGAAAGGATGTCTATTGGAGAGGCCAGTTTATAACACAATTTCAACCAATAAGTAACAAATAAGTGACGAGAAAAAGAAGGGGAAAAACATTTATAGGATGAAAGAGATGAGACTTTCAAGTCCTAGAAACCATAATCAACTTTACCCTAGTCAAACAAACCACCTGTTTTTTGAGTTTTGGGACATGATTTTGGTTTTCTTTTTTTTTTTTTTTGTCGGTCATGGGGCTTGAACTCTGGGCCTGGGTGCTGTCCCTCAGCTCTTCAGCTCAAGGCTAGCGCTCTACCACTGGAGCCACTACGCCACTTCTGGCTTTTTCAGTTTGTGTGATGCTGAGGAATCGAACCCAGGCCCTCATGCATGCTAGGCAAGCACTCTACCACTGAGCCACCTTCCCAGCCCTGGGGAATGTTCTTATGTGTAATAATGATATTACAATATCATTAACTATTTTGTTTTGTGGCATTGGGGATTGAATCTAGGGCCTTATGCATATTAGGCAAGCCCTTGTGTTACTGATGTACATCTTCAGCCTTAAAGAATATGTTAGGTATTATATTTTTTGTGTCAGTACTGTGGTTTGAATTAAGGACCTGAACACTATCTTTTAGCTTTTTTTGCTCAAGGCTAGTGCTCTACCACTTGAGACATACCTTCGTTTCCAGGCTTTTTCTGGTTAATTGGAAATAAGTTGCACAGACTTTTCCTGCCTGGGCTGGAGTTGAACCACATTCCTCAGATCCCAGCTTCCTGAGTAGTTAGGATTCAGAGTGAGCCACTGGCACCCAGCTCACATTAGTTACTTTAAAAGAGATATACAGATATACATATCTCTTTAATAAAGAGATATGCAGAGGTTTTATGGGAAAAGCTAATTGATGCGTGGGGTGAAACACGACCCACAGCAGTTATTGGTATTGAAAGTAGTTGATAAGCTCATGAGGATTGTGTTCATTTTTTTCATTGTAGAAGATTTAGTAAGGAACACTTATAAAATCTGACAGGATTATGTTAATGGGGAAGGCCACATTACTAGATGTCTGGTGAGACAGGAAAGATGATTTTTTTTTTTTTGTCAGTCATGGGGCTTGAATTCTGGGCTTGGGCGCTATCCCTGCACTCCTCAGCTCAAAGTGATCGCTCTACTTCTTGAGCCACAACGCCACTCCAGTTTTCTAGTGGTTTATTGACCATAAGAGTCTCACAGACTCTTCTGCCCAGGCTGGCTTTGAATCATGATCCTCAGATCTCAGCCTCCTGAGAAGCTAGCATTACAGGCTGAGCCACTAGTGCCCGCTAGATGATGAGTTCTTAAGACATAAACATAACTATGGAACTCTCCTCTATGATGCCCAGCGGGGCACATTCTTAGAGTGCTTTATGTTTTGGCCAATTCAGAAGTATAGTACAAATTCCTATTAACATGTGCACTCTTGCAGTTTTGTTCATCAGTGTTAAAAAGGATGGCATTTCTTAGAAGAGTTTGGTATTTTTGGTATAGGAGACTCTTCCATAACTATGGGAACCTTTTTGGCCTGAGGAGGATAGGTAGAAAAGTAGTTGTTACCATAAGAAAGGTTTAGGTATTAGCTACGTAGGCTGTTTACAGAAAGTGATATATGGTGTCTTGTTACCCCCCACTTATTTGTTTGTTTTGAGGGGCAGTACTGGCGTTTGACTTCAGGACTCTGTGCCTGATTGGCAAGTGTTCTGCTATTTTTTTATGCATTATTTTTGAGATAGTCTTGCTTCTTGCTGAGGCTGTGTATGCCTGGGCTTCGATCTGCCTATTTTAGGCTTTCCATTATAGCTAGAATAACAGGTGTGCACTCCCATGCCCAGCTGTCAGTTGGGGAGGGGTTGTGTGCATTTTTCTGCCTGGTCTGTCCTGGAACTGTGAACCTCACTTTCTCAACCACCTAAGTAGTTCGGATTATAGGTGCAAACTTCTGACACTTGGCAACTTCTGTGGTTTTTTTTTTTTTTTTTGGTGAAGTTTGGTTTTGTGAAACTTTGATGCATTTTGGGTGAAGTGCTTATATTGTTCATTGATTTTTGAATTTTTTAAAAAAGTTTTTATGGTGCTGACGAATCAAACCTAGGACCTTACCCATGCTAGGCAAAAAAATTGAGTTATACCCCTAGCCCTTTGAGTTTTGAATTATTAGCTTCTTTTTAATTTGCAACTTTCATAAACTAATAAATATGATATGAATGAATAGATATTATGATTCTTTTCCCTTGTCTATGCCTAAGCGAATATTCACTTGTATAATGAAATGGCAAAAGGTAGCATATATATATATATATTTCTGTAGATCTCTACTTTTTCAGTTCATAGGCAGCACAGCCTACCTGGAGGGTCTTTCTGCTAGCTTAGTAATAGACTTCTCATATTTTTTGTAACTTCTTAGAAGCCATTATAGTATATAAGTTTAACTTGCCAAGAAATATAAAATATTTAAATTGTACATGCAAACATTTCAATCATGTTTTGGCAGACACTCTATAAAGAAAGCCGGGAAGCACAATTTTATATAGTAGATGCAGAGGTTCTGACACATGATGTCCCCTACCATGACTACTTCTATACCCTGAACAGATACTGCATCATCCGATCTGCAAGACAGAAATGCAAGCTGAGGTAAGCTGTGAAAAATTAGTGAGTTATGCCTTCATAACATTATTCCTGGGCTGGGAAGGTGGCTCAGTGGTAGAGCACTTGACTTGCATGCTCAAGGCCATGGGTTCGATTCCTCAGCACCACATAAGCAAAAAGAATAAAGCCGGAAGTGGCGCTGTGGCTCAAGTGGTAGAGTGCTAGCTTTGAGCTGAAGAGCTGAGGGACAGTGCCCAGGCCCAGAGTTCAAGCCCCACGACTGGACCCCCCCAAAAAAAAAACCATTATTCCTGAATTGTTAGCCTTTACTCAACATAGCTTTTGTATGCATCTGTGTGCTTGTACTGGGACTCAAACTCATGACTTGGGTGCTCTCCCTTAGCTTTTTCTCTCAAGGCTAGCACTCTACCACTTAAGGCACAGCTCCACTTCTGTTTTTTTGGTGGTTAATTGGAGATAAGAGTCTCATTGACTTTCCTGCCTGGGTTGGCTTCGAACAGCAGTCATCAGACCTCAGCTTCCTGAGTAGCTAGGATTATAGGAGTGAGTCATTGGCAACAAAGCTTTATTTCTTCCTTTATATCAGTATGGTCAGAAGATGGGTGGGATGCCAGTTGATTGGAGGCTTTGGCATCCTGGAGCTACATAATTTAGAATAAGTATCGCTCAAAGAGAAAGCTATGGAATTGTGCTCACATTCCCATTGGCTATAACCAGTCACATGACCCTGTTTAAAAGTAGGGGTGGAGGAGCATATGGTGAGTAGAAGTTGACTCAGCTGCAGTGGGATATAGGCATGTTGACTTATTAAAGAGTAATGGGCCATTATATGTTTGACCTATTCTTGGTTAATTTAACTTTCAATTAGTGTGTGACCAGTGGAGGTATTTTTATACTGAATGTTTCAGACAGTTAGCATTTACTTGGGTCCTACTTGCTATTTAAGAAAGAAAATTCAGAGCTAGAAAAGGAAATAAAATAGCAAGTACTTAAAAGGAAAATTTGATGAAATTATAAGCAGCTTGCAATAGTTTTTTTTAAGGAGTCATTATCAGCAAACAAATTTTTATAACCTTAATGAATTTGAATCCTTTTGGTTTTCCATGGAATGTTATCCTACCTTTAATTGCAATATTAATATAACTGAAGTATATTTTTAAATAAAGAGTCTTCTTCCTTTCTGATCCTTTTAGAGTTTCCACAGATGTGAAATACAGAAAACAACCATGGGGCCTTGTCAAATCTTTAATTGAGAAAAATTCCTGGGGTTCATTGGAGACCTATTTCAAACAGCTTGGTTTGTAAAGTTTTCAATGCATCTGTTTTAATCAAGATTGCACTTACTAACAAAATAGATTGATTCTCAATTTAGGTTCATAGCAGGACCCAGTAGATAGTGTTGGAATGACTCACTAAAGTGGTTTCAATTTCCCTTGCTCTAGAGATTGAGCAATTTTAAAACTTTCAATTTTGATGGGTCTGACAAACACTTATATAATGCTATTTTATATTCAAACATATAATAAAGACTTATGTGCATTATTAAACATTAACTCATTTCATATTCATAACAATTGTGTGAAGTAGTTTTTCCACGTTAATACAGAAGAGATTGAAACACAACATATAGTTAAGTGACTTTCCTAAGTTCATCCAGTTCAGAGGTGCCGTACTCTGTATCTCTGCAATGAATCAGGACACCGACTGCAGTAAGGGGTTGCATAGCACCTTTGTGATCACTAGGATTTGAAGAGTAAAGGGCCCATACCTGCCTTCTTGGATGTACCTTCCGTGGGCATATGCAGATCCACTGGGCATCCACTGGATGGATGCCTAAGTATCCATGGGGAAGTGATGTTTTCTTTGGCTAGTTCTTTTTATACACATGAGGAAATGACTTACATACATGAAAATTGTTTTAGTTGAAGAAAAGCTGCAGGTCATTCAGTTTAGGATAAATTAAAGCTTTACCATTTAGCTTGTTGATTATTTTCTTAGCCTTCACCCTTTGGCAATGTCATTATTGATGGCTGTTTCCTTGTGCACGTGCAAAGAAAATGAAACTCAAGAATTAGTCTGGCCACTAGAAAAATGAGCTTTGAATAAAAAAAACACTGAGTGATAGCAAGCATGAAGTCCAGAGTTCAATCTCCACTGCCCACAAAAATAAAATTACATATAATTAGGTGATAAAATTGTTGAAATAAACGACAAAAATATGGATTTTCTTTACCTATACTTCCTTGTTTGCAAACGTCCATTGGCAATTGGAACTTTTGTATACTACTCCTTCCTTTGAGCAAGACAGGTATCACAACCTAACTTAGAAATCTTTCTAATGATCCCATGTAAGTGGGTAGACTGTAGACTATTTCCATAAATGAAAGCATTACATTAATATTTGATACAGCACATGGCAAATTTGCACTGATGGTCCCATCATTTATTAATACACATTCTTCCTAAAATAATAAACCTTATTTCAGGGTCATTGTACTCTCCCAAGCTTTTCATTAAGAGTAAAGTTTGAATCTAGGCCATAAGAACCTAAGGAATAATTAACGTTATCCTAGATTAAACAAACAATAAAATGCTTGTGTCTTATCATTGAGATGATTCCCCTATATCTAATTTTTAAAAAATAATTTCCTTCTTAAGAGTCAGATTTGTTATTGGAAGAATCTGTGTTAAATCAGTCCATTGAGGAGCCTGGAAAACTCGGCGGGCTCAGAAGGAGAAGGAGAACATTCAACCGAATGGCAGAATCAGTTCCTAAGCTTTCTTCTCAGCGTTCATCTGGAGATATGGGCTTGGAAGCCAAAGGCAATCCAGGTAGCAGTTACTGCCTCTGCCATCTGTTATTACCTGTGTTGTGAACAAATCAAATAGCTTAGTTGTAGGAAGCATAAGGTGTCTCTTGTTTATCAGATAGGTCCTTTAAAGAGGTCTGCCTTTCACCCCTTCTTTTTGGTCATCTTTATCATACCCTGAGTTCCTTAAAGACTACTACTACTATAGAAAAATAAAAAGGAGATTGAAAATGGCAGGTGTAGGGCAATAATATTGTTTTAGTTGCCCTACACAGCATTTTAAAAATTGAATGTTTTCAATAGTCTTACATCCAACAGCCCTGTACCCAAATCTTTTCATATGGCACTGATTGGAATAGCATTCCCTTACAGCCGCCCCTTAGACTGTTGGTGCTCCCCCGCTGGCCTCTGTCCCAACACACACCTTTCTCCCCATACTCCCTGTTAGGGCCAGCTCAGGAAAACTGGGAAGATGGAACTTGGCTTTTAGTATCCCGACTTGCAATTTTGAAGACATTTTACTTTTTACTCACTGTAATGCCCACTCTCTCTGAGCTATAAAGCTGTCATAACTTCTCCACCTGTACATTATCTTTAGGTTATGTCTTAGCTTAAATATGTTTACCCACAGTTTGATTAGTGGCTCTTTAATTTTGGAATTGCTTAGGCAACAGTGACTGGTGAGGAAAATGTTTAAAAGAGAGGTACTGGATGTAAACCAGCTCAAGAACAATTTGTAGAGATAGTACTTGGCTATCTATCATACATGATGTATAGAATCTCTTACTCGAGTAAATGAATTTGTAATATACTCCAATTCGAAGGATTTCTATAAGTTTTCTCACTGTTTGTTTCATACTATGCTAGAATATTACAAATCAAAAAAGGGGTGAAGAGAATGTGCTACCTTAAGTTGTTTTGTCTTTAGAAATAAAATTTCCAGTTATTTTCAAGTAAATATTAAATTATCAGCATTAATTCAGTCTTTTGTGACCTTCAGGAAAGAAAAAGGAAGTGGAAAGCTATAACATTGCTCTTATTGTGGTGATGAGTTTTTTGTAAGTATTTTTTATGAATGCCTCCTTTGCTTGTGTCTTCATTGACCTCTGACCAGCTCCCAAAAGAATTCAGATGTGTTCGGATAGAAACATAACCAATATTGGCCTACTAAATCAGCAGTCTTATAGGTTTTAGTCTGATAGATTTTTTAAGCTTGTATGTACATCACTAAGTACATAAAATCCATCATTTTTATACAGAACTAAACACAAACCCATCATTTTTCTATATACTAACTATAAAAAATGGATATGGCATTTCAAATACAACAGCATTTACATGTCAGAGTACCTGAGCAATAGATCGGGGAGGGAGATTTCACATTACCTGAAAGACCACAAAAGAAAGATGTTCAGTTCAGGTAATCAGTGAAAGAAGATAGTTTTCCATTATTAACCAGGTGTCACTGCTCATACAGGAACATGGGTTAACTCTAGGCCAGACAAAAAAATGAATTTGTTCATTCCAAGTGTTGGTAAATCACACAATAAATAATATACAAGTCCTATGTAAGATTTCTGATGTATGATTTTCAGAATTGCATAATATGTACTGAACCAATGTTTTTATTTATTTATATATTTATTTTGTCGATCGCGGGGCTTGAACTCTGGGTTGGGTGCTGTCCTTGTGCTCTTCAGCTCAAGGCGAGCACTCTACCTCTTGAGCCACAGTGCCACTTCCAGTTTTCTAGTGGTTTACTGGAGATAAGTGTCTCACAGACTTTTCTGCCTGGGCTGGCTTTGAACCGCGATCCTCAGATCTCAACCTCCTGAGTAGCTAGGACTACAGGCGTGAGCCACCAGTGCCCGGCTAAGTGTTTTTATTTTTAATCAGTTTTGTTTGTTTTATCATAGGTTTTAATGAAATGTTCCATAAATGAACATATAAATGTTCATTTATATATATGTGTAATATATATTCTATGTATGTATATGTATGTATGTATCTATCTATCTGTCTGTCTGTCTGTCTGTGTGTCTGTCTCTACCTATCTTAGCTATTTATGCTGATAAAACCCCAGTGATATGTTTAACTTACTTGATCAGTTGTTCTTGCCATTTACTGGAGAATTTGCTAAAATGTAGATTTCTCAGCCCCAGTCCCAGGAAATGGTTCAGTAAGTCTTGACCTATGGATCCAGGCACCAATATTTTAAAGCACACACCCCAGATCATTCTGATGCAAGTGTTCTGAGAGTAACAGGGTAAGAAATACTATGGCAATCATTCTAAATCTTAGGGAACATTATGGGGATCTACAGAGCCAGTTATATTTAGAGTGCTTATATCTACATGGCTCTATATGAAATTTAAGATAGTTCCAACCAACTTGATCATCTCAGTGTAATACATTATGTGTAGTCATATTTTGGCATAAAGTTATTGTATGAACTACTTTTTTCTTACAGATTTTAGGATATAGAAAATATTTGTGATTCCTTTGAGTTTTATTTTTAAAGGCCTTCAGTTTGCTATGACAATTTTCAGCTTCAAATACCAGGGTGTTTTTTTTTTTTTGCATTACTTGACAGAAATTTATACTCAGATATTGAAATGTTCATCATTATACCAGTTCAGTGCCATAATAACTTCACAGATTTGATGTTTTTGTTACCCTTAATTTTTTTCTTAAATCCTTTTCTTGATGGATAAAGATGAATTATACGTGTGTATGTGTGTGTGTGTGTGTGTGTGAGAGAGAGAGAGAGAGAGAGAGAGAGAGAGAGAGAGTGTGTGTGTGTGTGTGTGTAGATTGAACACAGGGTCTTGAATATGCTAGGCAGTTACTCTACCACTGAGATTTACCTTTAGCTCCAATATATGTATCTATTTAAAGACAAGTAAATATTTTTTTTAGTTACTGGGTTTTTTTCCTTTTTTATTGTCATTATAAAGGAGCTGTACACAGGGGTTACAGTTACATAAGTCAGGGATGGATTATATTTCTTTTTTATTTCAATTCTTTTTTTTATTATGAAAATACTATACAGAGGCGTTACAATTACATGGGCAAGGTAATGAGTACATTTCTTACCAAGCATTGTTGCCTCCTCCTTTGTTTCCCCTTCCCATCCCTTCTCATCTCCCCCTGTTCCCTCCCTCCAAGTATATTTCTTTTTGGACAGTGTCACCCCTTCCTTCATTCTCTCTCAGTTTTTCCGTCCATCCACACTCATAGGCAAGTAAATATTTTAACAGAATAAAATAAGTAGCAAGATATGATGCTACTTATGTATTTGCATGTGGGTGTGTCCACTTACTTGAAAGGCTGCTGTGAAAACCAATACTGTACATTAAATTCATTTAGCATAAAATTTTGTATTTGACATCATTAGTGTATATTTAGGATTGATATTTTGTCCATGACGAGCAAGAAAAAGAAGTATTGCTGAATAGTTAAAAAAAAAAAGAAATTTTCAGTTTCTACTGGGAATAAGAGTTAGGTCATGATCTTCCTAAGATCAGCTCCATATCGATCTTCATTTCCTTTCTGAAATGCAGCATTATGGGTATGTAATTGCTTGAGCCAAAGTACCCAAAATAGATCTGAAAGCTTACCCGATAGATTTCTAAGCTGGTGGTCGCACAGCAACACTGGCTTGAATTGGAGCAAAGAGAAAAGATTGTAGGAAACAAGCCCAACACATTCAAGGACTAATTTACTTTCCATCCTTTTCTTTAACATGCACATAATAATATAATAAAATGGGGAAAATTTAACAACTGAACAACATTCTAGATAACATACATTTCTGAAGCTATTTCATGTATAAATAAATTTATAGTTTCTCCTTTTTTGATGAGGTGAGAGAGGTATGTTGAGACAAGGTCCAGCCTTTGCTGGCCTTAGAGTCTTTATCTTCCTCTTCCTACCACCACTGGATTGCTGGGAGTACAGGGGTGTATTCCCCCACCTGGTTTGCATGTGTATTCTGCATTAGCAATGCTTGAAGTCTGGATATGTATGGATTAACCAGGTTTCATTTGCTCTGTCTAGTTTGCTGTTTCTGGTTTTGTTGAATGTGACACTGTTTATGAAGTTGTCAAAAATAGAATATGCTGCTCAGTCCTTTTACCGTCTCCATCTCCAAGAAGAGAAATCATTAAAGTAAGTAGCTCCTTCCCTATTGTGTTTTTTAACCACATTACTTCAACAGTTCTTCAGTTACAGAAAATCAAATTCCAGTTTCAGAAATTCTGGTCCGCTAACAACTATCCTATAGTCACAATGGCTTTTTTTATTTGTTTAATGTCATGCTTTGTTTGCAATTTGGGGGATGCAATAAGTTTTGGAAATGAAAGATCAGAAGCTATACTTGATTTTGAAGATAATATTTTTCTTCCAGTTTGGTCTCTGATATGGTCTCAAGAACAGAAAATATTCAAAAGAACAAAGATCAAGCCCATCGTTTAAAGGGGGTGCTTCAAGATTCCATACTGATGCTAGAGCAGGTATATAAACCTTTGCCTTACAGGACCTGGCACCTCTGAATACATGTGACTGGATTTCTCTGGTTGGGAGAGAATGTTTACTACATTTTTTGCAGAAAGTTAATCGTCTCCACCCATCTGCTTTTTAAGTTTTATTTTTAAAGTGAAAATCACTTCATCACTTGAAAAGTGAAGTTTTGTTGTACCTAGTACCTTCTGCCATTCCTTTCCCAATGACAATAAATACACTTAGGTTATTCTTTTGTGTTTCTCTGTATTAACAAGCATGTATGTGATTCTTCATGATTTTTCATTCTAAAAAAGGATGTAATTTTCTTCCTCACTTCCACTTTTGGACATTTCCGACTCCTATCATCCTCTCCATGAAGTTTAACATTAATTTTGGTTAGATGAATACTCAATGTTTGCTTTGTTTTGACCAAGTTAGATATTCCAATTGCTATGATGACCTGGCCTATGATTTTGGCAGTGTTTTGAATTCCCTATCAGTGTATTAATTTTGCCAGCATTAATTATATAAACATTTTTATTTCCTAATTCTGTTTTAAAATCCCATCAGAAACATTATTCACTGATAGAGCCTTCTGATTGGCTCATTAGATCCTGAGGTTCTCTATGCTGGCTACACAGATATCGTGCCGGCATTCCTGGTGTCTTCTCTGCTTCCCATGTTTCTCTTCTTTCGTTTCCTTTTCTCTTTTTTTTCTTCTTTTTGCTATGTTGGGAATAGAACTCAGGGACTCAGGCATACTAGGCAGGTGCTTTACCACTGAGCTGGGTCCCAACCCTTATCTTCTTTTAATGAAGCACACCTTTTTTAAATAGCTGCTTATGTTTGGAAGAGTTCAACTATCTGAAGAAAAAAAAATGCTACTTTTTACCTAGCTTAATGGTTTGGTGGCGGATAGAGTTCTAGATGGGAAATAATGTTTCTTCAGAACTTGGAAGGCATTTCTCTTTTTTTTTTCTTTTTGGCTTTCATGGTTGATATTAGAATTTGGAGTCTATTATCAGGGTTCTGAGTATGATTCTTTAGTGCTCTGTAATTCTGAGAACTTTCATCATTTGTATAGTTGGTGATTTCTGCCCTCCATGACTCTTCTGACTTCTTACCATTTCTATTATTTAGATGTCAGCTGTCATGATATGACAAAATACTGAGACTAACAAAGGATGAAAGACTTATTTAGGCTCACTGTTGGGATTTCAGGCTATGGTCATTTGGGCCTTGGCCTCATTGCTCTGGGGCTGGGATGAAGCTGGGTATGGGGTGGAGAGCATGCGGTGGATGGGAGCAAAGTTGAGAGGGAAAGTGGGAGGGGGAAAAGCTGACAGCCTATCTGAAAAATACACTAAAGTCCTATGGCTTGGGAGCGTTGCTCAAGTGTAGCATGTTTGCTTACTGAGTACAAGGCATTGATTTCAAACCCCAGGAGCCCCAAATAAAGAGGAGAAAATGAAAGGAATTTGGTGTTCTATATTGTTTGACTTAGGCTTTGGCAAAAACAAAAATTTATGATCAAACTGTGATCAAACACAGTTGTAAACTTTTGGCATAAAGCCAGAAAAATGTAAAAATCTGATTTTCAAATTTAATTTTCTTTGCAGCTTAAGAGCTCACTTATTATGCTTCAGAAAACCTTCGATCTACTCAATAAGAACAAGACTGGTATGGCTGTTGAAAGCTAGTGATCTTAAGACTAAAACATTGGAGATACCAGGAACTAAAACAAAACAGGATGAAGGATTTTAATTGTTATTATTTCCTCTTTTCTTCTTGGAATTTCTAATGCCAGCATTCTTTTAAATAACATTTACTTGATAATTATTCTCTGATAGCTTCCCAAATCTATTCTTCTACTTCCTATGGATATTTTTAAACTGTGAATTTCTCCAGTGAACCATGAAATACATTCTGGTGTTGAAAATCTGTGATACAAAAAGAAAAGGAGATTCTCTTTGAATTGAGTAGTACAGCTTCTTTTTTATGGTGAGGCTTGAAATTTTATGCTTTAAAAATTTGTCTTTCAGCACTGAATGACCATGTTTTCCATAGATTGTGTTATAGTAGATACAAAAAAAACCCTCTTAATCATTATTAATTTTAAAGGATTGGTTTTTACAACATTATTAGGTTTGTATCTTGTAAATATTGTGATGTTTTATTTATTTAGCATGCAAATTTAATAGTTAAACCTTTTGAATCTGCATGTTGATGATAATTGTTATCAGAAAGATTCTTCAGCTATATGTATCTTTATGAGAGAAATGGTTATTTTTTTATTTAGACAGCAGAAGTGAGGTGATCTTTTTCATATATCAAAAATAGAAGAAGCAATTTAGGAAAAAAATGTGTGGGACACTAGTGCTCAAAATGAAGAACCAGTTTCTTAAGTTATAAAACCAGAGTATGTTAAAATCTGGGCATTTAGTGACAGATCAAATACATCTTTGAACTAAGCTTGAATTCAGCTTAGTAGTCTTTCATAAAGAAAGTGATTTATCTTGTTGAAAATAATTTGTGTATTACTTTTAGTTATGTATTGATTTCATTCTTTATGCTTGTATGTATAATGTGTATATATTGTCTGTTCTTAGTTATAAGTCAGATACAAACTATAGTTCTTAAAAATTTTTGGGAAATACATGTCCCAACACAAGTTTACGGACTGATGTTGTGAGACATAAGCTGAGGCTTTTTTTTGTTGTTGTTTTGTGCTTAGAACTGGGGCTTGAACTCAGGGCCTGGACATAGTCTCTTAAGCTTTTTCTGTTCAGGGCTGGCACTCTACCACTTGAGCCACAGCTCCACTCCTGGCATTTTGGTGGTTGACTGGTGATAAGAGTCTCACAGACTTTTCTGCCTGGGCTGCCTTTGAACCTTAGATTTTGGCCTCCTGAGTAGCTAGTGGCTAGCGGATGCCCAGCTAATGGGCTCTCATAAAAAGGCTTTTTGTTTATGTCTCAATACCTTACAGATTATGAAAATCAGGCCTTTGTGAACTGACTTGAAATCAGACTTTTTCTGAAGTCAGACTTTTTCAAGAGTTTGGAAAAGTTCAGTGTGTATTGTTTTGTCCTCTTCAGGTCTCTCTGGCACACACACATATATTGTTATATAGTTTGAACAACTATTATCTTTAAAGTTTCCCTGTTCCCCGATCACCAAAGCCCTGACATCACGGAAGTCATTTTTGAGATGTCTGTTTGGAATGAAATATTGACTTTGTCAGAAGGTAAATGGGTCTCTCCGGGTGAATTCTCAACTAAGGATTCGATTTCATCTCCCTGAAGTTTGGATGGCTTGGGGACATTGGCAATTTTATGAAACAGAGGCTGTGAGCAAGAGTGACTGAATTATAAACTAGAAACTCGGTTAAATTTTTTGTGGTTGCTCTAAAAAATGTGTACTTTGTGTCAGACCTCAAACACTACCCAACTTGCTTTAGAAATTAAAAAAATAAATACACGAACAGAAAGCAATTAACAAAATTTGAACCTGTTATGTAAACTATGTCAATAAAAACCAACATGTCTGAGTTATAATTTTCCTTTTTCTTCTGCTTAAAAACCCAACACCTCAGCACACCACCTTTCTATTAACACTCACACAAACAAAAAGCCAACTAAGATGCCTAAGGCTGTGAAAATGTTGATGTGGGCCTACAATCTGTAAAATAAAATCCGAATCAGACGGAGGGCAATTTCGTTTCAGCACCCGCAAGAGTACTGGAAAAGCAGCACTGGCGGGCCCCAGCGTGGAACTCACAGAATTCACGGGAATGAGCAAGTTGGGTGCATCCACAGATGGGGTGCAGCGAGGCGAAGGGAAGCTCAGCGCAAGCGGGGGGGGGGGTGAGGCTGGTCACCGGGGCAGACCCCCCCACCCCATCCCGCAGAGCCTGTTGCAGGTGTGGACTAGGCTGGACGGCCCACGGTCTCCCCGAGTTGGGAGTCTCTGGGCTCCCTGTGTTTCGGGCTCCGCAGCTGCACCTCGGGTACCCCAAAGGCGTCTGTGGCTGCCCCGCCGACGCGCCGGCCACAGGCCCCGGCCGGGTAGTGAGGACGGGGGTGGGGGTGGGGGGAATGGCACTGCACTGGCAGGGGTGCGGCGCGCGCCCCACCGCCCCGGACGGACCGACAGACGGACGGCGGAACCGGAGGGAGGGCGGGGCCTGGCC